GTAGGTCTTCCGTGAAGCGAGGAGAAATTTGTCAATATTTTTCGGCAATGCCGACCGAGCTGGCCATATCGATCAGGTTTCGGCAGCGCGAGTACGGGCGGAGCCGGCGCGATAACCCGGGCGTGTTTTCGGTTTCAAAGCCTCGTATATACGCTATCTCGGACTCCGTGTGTCCTCGTGAACCCTGCCCCATTGAGACCACTTCCTACGATACGTGTTGCTCTGGTGACATCACGCGATTCTGTGTATGTGCACCACGCCTGATTCTCGATTGAACGAACCCCTTGCTGCTTAACATTGTATGCCACTTCCCTGAAGTATCGCGTACAACGATATACGCGTAATAACCGTATACAAAAACGTGAATTTGAAACTTTCTTTTGACCAACACAGTACAACTATTACACAATCATTGTACGATGGTAAATAATAATAATCCCCTATGGAAAGCCATTTTCTTAACTACCCTGTCAAGGTTACTCGTTTCAACACTTCCCTCTGTTTCAAAACTGAGATAAATCTTACATCTTCCAATATAATTAATTGACTCTTTCCTCAATATCTCCACACTGTCGATCGAAGCTAAAAAAAGCGTCATTCATAAACGAAACACTTTTATAGGTCTATAAATCGTCTCTGTACCGTATGGATTCACATCCCGCGAGGTCAGGGAATATTTTAAGCAATTTTTAAATTCCTCTGTCGGTAATACTGTTCCCCGTTTATTGGCTATTCGTGGAAACGAAGCGAAAGAGAGGAGGGATGGGATTTCAATAAACGTCGATACTCCATGAGAGGAGTTAAAAAGTTCCCCGGAAACCGCAGGATTTTCAAGCCCGGCAGAGTTATACATATAGCAGTGGAGCGTGCTTCATTTTTAATTACATGCCCACTTTGTTCCACTCGACGCCTGCTAGCAACTTAGTTCTCGCGGTGGCGCACGCTCCGTGTTGGACGTCGTTTCGCCGGATTGAACAACGAACTTTCACTCGCGTCTCGTTACCGTTGCGATACTCTGGGATTAAAAAGAAGCTGCGGGACGCGTGGCACATTTCCCTGGTGTTCGAGTCGAAATGAAATGACCGTCCGGAACTGGGTTGAATTTGTTGAAACGACACCGTGTTCCGATTTCAAACGATGGACGCTCGTGGAATGTACGTATTCTCTGATGCTGATGAACAATTTTGCAAATGCATTTGAGATATACAGGCATTGGCGTAACTAGGATTTTTGTCTGAGGGTCTCTTGACTTTCGCCCATAACGTGGGTTGCATAAAATAACGTTACTACATTTTACAATAATTATTCACATATTTATTTAACACTGAAACTCAGAATAGAAACATATAAACATAATTCTTAAAAATAAAAAAATTGGGAAAAGAATGATACAGATACCTATAGGTAAAATCTATGTAAGCTTCAATTTGGTGTTTTTTTCTGCAAAAATATTTTCACTTTCTCGAGCACTAGTTTCCTTATTGCATTCGACCCTTCAATTGATGTTACAAGATTATTAGTTGCAGTGGAATGTTAAAATTAAACAGCTCAATTCTAATACAATTTTATTTAATACTTTAACGTAATGAGGAGAATATTTGACACAAGTATTTATTTTTTATAACATAAGATTTTACTAACCGACGAATGTTTTTTTACATATTTCAATAATTTCTGGACGGGGGGGCCAGGCCCCCCCTGGCCTCTACCTAGTTATGCCAATGTATACAGGGTTTATATTACCTCTACGCGTCTACAAAGACAAAAGTGACTCACATTAGAAATTCTGTCCCCTGATACCATTTAACTTTTGTCTGAAACATCTTTTAATATCGTCAATAGTTTCGGGGATATTCGAGTGGGTCTATTTAAATTATTTCGAAAATATTTATTTCGGATCATATAAACCCGATGAAAACAGCATGATTGAATTAAATACGTATGTATATTTTGGAACTGTTCTACTTTCACTAGTATCATTCGTATTCGTCCTTTACTCCTAAATCCACAATTAGAGATTAATTGGTAGAACTGGATGAAATTTCGTTTATTTTCGTCAAACTTTATTTTTCCTCAGGTTTCTCTGCATTAACACTCTCATAACCGTTAAAAACTGTGCAAACCAGTGTATCACTGTCCCATAAAGCGATTATCTCCAAACCGTGTCACATCAACGTGAATGGGATCCAGGATCGTGCATAAAGCCAACGCTCTGGCGCATTAATATCACTCGCGACGTTGCATCGCGTGCCCAAGAGTAACGACCTATCCGCAGGGCTTTCAAACTCATCAATTTCATTATAAATCGACGATTCTCGTACTCTGGAAAGCGGCTCGCGAAAGGAACCCACTCCACCCTCGGCAAAACAGTGGGGGAAGAGATTATTCCAGGGCAACGATCTCAGCGAGCTAAATCTTTCCGCATTGGAGACGAAATCGGTGGATAGAGGCGGCACCGTGTCGATTCGCGAAACTGAATCGAATTGTCCCTGTTCCCGTGAGGGCAAAGACGCGCGCACGAGTGGCGGAAAACGCTCCAGGATCGAGACAAAGCCATTGAAAGAAATCGCGGTGAACTGGAACGCTGAAGAATATTAATAAACGAATGGAGGGGGAAGAGGGGCTCTAGAGTCGTTGGAGTGGCTGCAAACATTTCAAATGCTAATTCTAGGATGGCTGCCGGATATAAATGAACGAAAGAAGAAATTAATTAGGCAGCGAAATCTCGTGGAATTTTCTTTGGCTGATTGGGAGGGAGGGGATACGATAATTGGCGACGTTTCTAAAATTCCAGCCGGAGTACAGTGATGTGGATCGAGGCTCGACAATAATGTCTCGATGGCGGCTTCGACTATTGGGGGAATCTATTAGCCGGGCAGCCGATCGATCGACAGCCAGTTTTCTTTCCGAGGAACTCGACGCAACGTGGTACCGCTAGCAAGCCATTACAACATACGGCCTATGGAATACGGGGTAACCACGGCACTGGTGACCGAAATAACACGGAAGTTATGTTGAAAGGAACGCCTATAACTGGAAGCATTGAGGATCTTTGATCTGTACGACGATCCATGTGCGCGCAATTAAATCGTAGACTCGGATGGCTCGCGAGGCCTGGAGGAATCTCTGTGCACGATATTGGATCTCTTCTAACGGGGATCGAGGATGTTGATTGAGTTCGGTGAAACTGACGACACTGGGGGATATAGAGGGGAATTATCAAGGAATCGTAGATCGAAAGGTGATTAATAGGACGAAAGTGGTTTTGGTATATTTTGATGTAAGTGCTGATCGAGATGGAATTTAAACTGGTGGAGGATGAATTCTTATAATTTTTTTCTCTAGGATGAATTCTTATGATTTCTCTAGAATTTAAATCCTAGAATTAAATTCCCAGAATTTATTCAGAAAGATTGAAGAGTAATAACTATACTGCGGATGTTTATTAATTATTTATAGTTAAATTTAGGATTTTGTCCCTTTCGAATTTTTAAATATTCGTACCTAAAATTGCGAAGTTGGATCAACATCCGCAGTCCAGTAATAACAATAAAGGAAAAGTAAACACAGCGAGGTAAACTGTAACAACAGAAAGGTAAACACAGCGAGTATAAAAAGTACGTGTATGCAAGAGTCCCTCGTAACAAAAATATCGAATAGGAAAACAACCGTTCAGTGACAGAAAACCAAAAAAATTGTCAACAGTGTAGGATACAATTACTCCACAAAACATTCACCAACGCCATACAAAAATCCACCAATTCCATAAAAGAAACTCGATACATAAAAATACTTCTACCATCCACTGCCTACGGCGTGTAATAAAACCAGTGTCGCATCGAGCACTGGATCCACGAACCCGCCAATCAACATCAACCTCCATCGTGCCCGGTGGGTCACTGATCCACAACGAATGATCGACAGCAGCAGCGCTCCCTATGCGCATACTCGACCGAGCCCCATCCACGGACACCCATCCGCCCCGAGCGAAACCGGGGAACGAAAAACCAGGCGAGTCTGTATTGGTCGACGGGCAACCGAAAAACAAAAGGAGCGCGGAAAAACTGAAATCCATCTCTCACACGAATTGTTCGTAGGTCTGAAAGTCAACATGGGAGTAAATTAAGTTCCCTATCCCGGTTCCATTAGCTCCGGTTGGCTCCGCGTGGATCGATATAAGAGGGTGGGTATATAGGTACCCAAGAGAGAAGGAGGGGGTTTGGGGTGGGGTGAATGGTTTCCTGCGTTAGCTGACAAGGCGAGATCTCTAACAGCGATCGGTGGTGAATCGCGCTCGCGGAATGGCCGGTTGGCCACGGTACCGGGGGGCTCTGTCGAGCTGGTGAACGAAGAGCGGCGCGTCGACCGTTCGCCGGTATCGCGCCGTCGTCGTCGGGCCTCCACGAGCGGAGCAAGCGTCGTTCGGCGTCAGGTAGATGGGTAGGGGGAGCGCAAGGTAGCGTGGGAAGAGGGACAGAGTAGGAGGAGGTGTGGAGGGTATACCCGATGGCAAAAGGCAGAAATAATTCCACATTTGCCGAGAGCTGGCTGGAACTCGCACGTGTCACACGCCTCGGGCCCGTACACGTGCGCGCACGTGTGTGTCCCTTCTTCTTCTTCTTCTTCTTATCCAACCGCGCGCGCTGCGACACGTGAACAAGGAGGAAGCTAAAGGCTAGGCCGAAAAATCAGGAAGGAACGCGGAGAAACGAAAGGTTCGAGGCAGGACATCGGTGTCAAGATGTGGAGGAGGTAGACGGAGAGGGCAGAGAAGTGCGCGCGGCGAATAAAAAAGGGGCGAAATAGGGAGGAGGAACTAAAGGGGAAAGGGGACAAGAGTGTGATAGCCAGCCTCGAGGATCGTGATCAAAGACCCCGAACGCCGACCACGACGGAGAACGACCACGCGGATTTTCTAAATATATAGCCGGCGATGTGCAAGAATAGGAGGCGGCAAGCAGCAGCAACACTCGCGTACGCGTCTCCAGCGAGACGGCCGAATGGAACGTGAGCTCACAGTGGGCAACGCCGCGACGACGCCGCGGCGTCACCCGGACCCGCGTTGTTTGGATAGGTCAGTTCCCGCGGAGCAAACTAGCTGCCGGCGGGTACGCGTTAGAATCCTGTATCAGCCTTTCGCGCACACAGGTAACCAATGGATTCCAATTAGGACTTACTTTTCTGTGTGTTCTTCGCCATCCTTACTGACCGATGTCTTTCTCTATCCTTCGATCTCTGTGGATCCGTTTGTTGGTTGTGTTGCCTATCCGTTGGTATATTAATGTATACATGTTGTTTCTTGTTGTAAAATAAGTGCTTTTGGGAGAGTGCGTTTGAGTGTAGAGTAGCCTTGAGATTGTGTATTAGCATTTGTTGCGTAGAGGGAGTTGGGGACAGTTTGATGCAACAGGAGATAATGAAACAGGAATAGTATCTTGATAACCATAAATATTTAAATGTCCAAAACATGATCATAAGATAACATATACGCGATCTCATCTTGTGGTCATGTGAACTTTTAAATGTTTATGGATATCGAGAGTACTATTGATATATCATTGTGTCCTGTTGCATCGAAGTGCCCAAACTCCACCTACAGGTAACCAATGGGTTCCAATTAGGACTTAATTTTCTGTGTGTTCTTCACCCTTACCGACCGATATCTTTCTCTGTCTTTCGATTTCTGTAGATCCGTTTCTTGGTCGTGTTGCTGTCCCATTGGTCTAACAATATATGTATACATGTTGTTTGTAATTGTTAAACAAGTGCGTTTGAGTAATGAGTAGCCTTGAGATTGTGTATCAGCTTTTCTTGCATACAGGTAATCAATGGATTCCAATTACTTTCTATGTGTCCTTCACCCTACCAAGCGATCTTTTTTCATCATTTGGTCTTTGTAGAACCGTTTGTTGGTCGTGCTGTTATCTCATTGGTATATCAATATATACAGGGTGTTTCCCATTGTAAAATGTGTACTTCTGGAAGAGTGTGTGTTTGAGTATCGAGTAGCCTCGAGATTGTGTATAACCCCTGGCCGTTCAATTAGGACCATTCATAATTTTCAGTGAAAGTAACAGATAGTGACGATATAATTTTATATAAAAAATAATGTTAACACATAGTATAAATAATCGAAGTGTAATAGAAAGTCTGCCCTAACGTAACCTAATACAGAAAGTATAGTAATATGAAATACATAATGAACATGTTTACGTTACACTTGTTATTGATACTCTAGCATAAACATTCACTCGGTGTTCAATCGCTGGCCACGCACTCTATGGTTTTCACAACAAATATAACAGTAATAAATAATACCTTACTACTTAATAGTAATAAAAAATATCACATATAGTAATATATAAATTATTAATACATATGCATGTGTAATATTTCAATAATTAATACAGTTCGCAATTAATTTTCGATAAGGCTTTTTAATTTTACTGAAAATACAAAAAATGTTGAAAATTGTGAGTGGTCCTAATTCATTACCCAAGGCTGTACTAAAGCTTTCGGTAACCCTCCGCGGTTTTCGGGGATCGTCTTATGATTCTGAAATAATTCAGGGTCCTGTTGATCATTTCATCCCCCCTCGACACAGGCCGCGACGATTATTCCGTTTAACTGTCGTTCCTGCACTTGTTGAATTCCCCCTCGCGCGACTACTCGGCCAGTACCGTTCGTAGTGGTTCCATGTTCGCGAACGACCACGCCACACACCCGCCCCTTTCTCCACGGATTGATCATCGCAGTATTTCGTCTTCGCGCACACCTTCACCCCTTGGTGGCGTCCCTCCGATTAAAAATAATACGCACTCGAGTCCTATGTCCCACCGTCAACGGTCCCCTCGACGCTCCTTTGTTCCCTCTCCTGAGACGACGCAGCGGTGTATTTACGTTTCAGCCAGGGTATGTCGACGCCCTTTTTCCGCTTCTTCTTGATCTTCGTTTCTTTTCGTCTATCGCCCTATTTTTTTTTTTTTTGCTTCTTCTTGATCTTTGTTACTTTTCCTCTGTCGTCCTATCTTTTTTTTACTTCTTCTTGTCCTTCGTTTCATTTTCTATACCGTCCTATTTTTTTCCTCCTTCTTGTTCTTCGTTTCGATTCCTCTATCGTCCCATTTTTTTCTAATTCTTCTTGTTCTCAATTTCTTTTCCTCTGTCGCCGACGAACGTAAGCATTCGGAATCGTGATCCAAAGATAGGTCAGTACCTACGTTCTCCCTTTACGCCGGCATATTTCGTCACCGAGATCGTGAGTTTCTCTTTATCGCATTGTTATTTCCTGCGCTTCGGGAGGAAATTTCGAGACCGTTGCCCTGGTAACCAGAAGCAGAGAATACGTAGAATTCTTGGGTATCGGAGAATATGGGGATGTGTCCCGTCCTGTAGGATCTGTACAGCTTTGAATTCGATTCGAAGGAACGACAAAGGACTAAGTGCTTCTGCGTACAATCCTAGCCGGGGTCACATCTGCGAGAAGAATCGAAGGGAGATCTAATAGATTCCCGTTTTATCCGTCCGTTGCGTCCTTCGTTCGTCACATTGAATTGATGGGTGTCCAAAGGGTGCTGTGGGGTAACGGGAACGCCCCTTGGATCTCCGTCTTTAACACGTTGACTGCTGGATGAATTTTGTATGTTCCATCTACGACGCAGGTTTTAAACTTCGCCCTGTACAGTACACAGTGTAGGTCGGAATGGATGTTATAGTCAAATAGAAGGTTATTCTACTTGCGAAAATAAGTACAATGTTTCTATATAATGCTTCATTTCGGAGATAATCGAATTTGAGAGTCTAATGGATACCCGTGCGATCCTATAGAATTTGGCTAACGCTTCTGGTCTGGTCATTGCATGCCGTTTCTACTTACGATCGGCACGTATATGTACGGTGACTCACAAATCTGTTTAGAGAAGGCAGACCCATTTATTTGATCAATTTACCAACTTGTGAATTTTATCTCAAAATTAAGAAAAATGTATCACGAATGAATGATAAAAACTAAAGGGATTGAGAACAGATAAATAGATGTATAAATAGATTTACACTAAGTTGTTATTTTGAGAGCATGGTGAACGAAAGTGCGAGTCTTTGTATGTATATGTTAGATGAATTTTCAAATACGATTGTCTCGTAAATGTAGCATCGAAAAAAATATTATTCTACATTTTCGATATATTATTACACGTGGTAGAACTTCGTGTCCGGTTATACCACCAATTCTGACCCATTTTGAGTAATGGTAACACTGTATAAAATGATTCAATTCAAGTGCAAATATCATGAATTGTCGACTTGTGCTGTTAGCAGTCGCCGATTACTATTCCACTGATTAAAGTACTGTAACATTTTCATTACATGCAAGTGCTTCAATTAATTTCGGCATCGATGACCGCTATGGCGCTACTAACCAGTTGATACAGTCAACGTGTTAACCGAGAAGTTTTAACTGAGTCCATTATGCCTCAAGTTTTAAAAGCTTTATCTAACTCTGCAATTTACGGTGACTAACTTTAGCATGCAATTATCTTGTGTTCAATGTGATCAAAGGATCAACCCGTCGTTGAGGATAAAACTTTGATGAGAGTATTGTTCCGTTTCAATATTATGATAGCAAATTGGCTATTGTTTTTACCGACTTATGTAATTTTATAGATTATGATATAAGCTGCTTTTTACATGGTATAACCATCTGGTCCATCAAAGGTGGATCATTTCACATGGTTTCCCTTCTCCTGTGTCCACCATGTCTTCGAGAATATCTTCGAGAATACCATGAATATTTTTCTCAAGACATTTATAGTAGATGGACAAAATACAGCAAACTTATAAAATTTCGGTGACTGCAAAGATTTCTTTCACACCCCACTTGACGAATGTTTCAAACTAATAGGCATATAGTTTTCTGTGGAATCGTATAAAACTTATTACCTCATTGTGCAATTAATTTTCTACATTTATCACGCAGAACCCAAACTTGTAATACCGTTCACAGCCTTGAGCACTGCCCGGGCCCAGCGTTTGACCTATTTAGATCTCACCCCATGAATGGTATCGCTCCACAAAGGTCTAATTTTAGAAATTCGCTGTATCTTGTTCACCAAGTATGAAGTTTTGCATTTCACTCCATTACACGAGTCTGTTTAACAGCCGAAATTCTACCAAATGATTAATAAATAATAATCTCAACTTCAACAATACAAGTAACAAACATTAGACATCGATCTGTAAATAAATCTAGCTTGATCCTATTCTTTTTCCAAATTGTACTCAGACTGCCTGTCATGAGTATTAGGACACCCATTCTGTGTGAAATGAGATCGAAAAAATCGTTTCAAATTTATTCAAGAACTCTTAACCCCTTGCATTATAACATCGCGTCAGGCACGTGATTAATTTTCTCTAAGTCGAAGTGAAATTCTGTTTTATTGGTATTAATATTTAAGATTTAGAGTAAATGTTACACTTGCCCCAAGGATAAAATTTCTTTTGCATCTGGCAAATTATTAACGGTAAACTAATTTTTGAGCTTACAATCGTCAAAAAAATCGTAGGGCAAGAGGTTAACCAATGTTCCTTTATTTAGTATTTTATATTATAAAATATACATTTCCATAACAGTTTTATAAAACAACATGACAGACATACTGACGTTAGCTATAACTGCAACGATTATTATTATAAAAAAAAGAAAGAAATGTGAGCAAAGACCCATCCTTAAAGGTCCAGATGGCCATTAACAGGAAATAAAACTCAATTTAACCTGCAAAATCTCGCGAACTCAAGTGTAATGAACGCTGTCATTTAAGATTCAACAGCGAACTACCGAGAAACCGGAGACATCGGTGACGAAATCGTGCCGATTTCACTACGCCGCGTTTCGTCGAAGCGACATTAAATCCACGACGGTAGCGCAGAAGCAGAAACACGGGCAAATCGCACGGAAAATAAAGGAGCACGTGAAAACGGTTCTAAAGCCCCGCAGCTCGTAACGCGTAATTTATTCCGAGGCTGCGACGTCCCGCAAACATTTACACGCGAGCGTCGTCGTCGATGAACCGTCAGCCGTGCGATTGTTCCTTTCGTCGTCGGGGGCTCAGCAAGATTTTTCCGTCGACTTCCCCTGCGTGAATCGTAATACG